TCGGGAGGACACCCCTTTAGTCCCAGCACTCGGGAGGACACCCCTTTCGTCCCAGCACTCGGGAGGACACCCCTTTCGTCCCAGCACTCGGGAGGACACCCCTTTAGTCCCAGCACTCGGGAGGACACCCCTTTAGTCCCAGCACTCGGGAGGACACCCCTTTCGTCCCAGCACTCGGGAGGACACCCCTTTAGTCCCAGCACTCGGGAGCACACCCCTTTAGTCCCAGCACTCAGGAGGCAGAGGAGAGGCAGGGGGATCTTTGGGCGTTTGAGGCCAGCTTGGCCTGCAGAGTTCCAGGCCAGTCAATGCTACATCGTGAGACCGTGTCTCAGAAAACAAACAAAACGACAGACAGCCTTTAAATTCTCCTCCCTGGAAAGATGTCCTCCACTCCTGGGGCCTTCAGACATCACCCCCACATTTTCTTCTTTGTGAAGTGATAGTCTGTGTTTATGTATTTAACTCATTTTAAATTTCTCTTTTATATACTATAAGATATGAAGCTGTTTTGTCTTGAGAGCAAGTGTGTGGATACACTTTTCTCACTAACCCGATGTGCCTTCTTCGGCATATGTTGATTAAATGCCCAAGTCTATTCACAAATGTTTGGAAAACTCTAATCTATCCCATTGATAAGTAATTTTGTTTTTCCCAAACAAATGCCAGACTTTCTTGACTATGTTGTTTCCATAAAATATAGGGTTGTTGGGCAATGGTGGCACATGTCTTTAATACTAGCACTCCGGAGGGAGAGGCAGGTGGATCTCTGTGAGTTTGAAGTCAACCTGGTCTATAGAGTGAGTTCCAGGTTATCCAGGGCTATAATATGAAACCCTGTTTTGAAAAAGAAATATACAGGGTCAGTATTTCCACATAAATTTTCCTTTTCAAATTTTTTTCTTCTAAAAAAAAAATCCTGCATAGTTTGCACTCCACATAAAGCCTAAAAATATTTTATTCTGTTCAGAGTAGTCTCTGAGGCTAATCCCAAACACCCAAAACAAAGCAAAGATGTCTTCTGCTAAGCTAGAGAAAGTTCAGCATTTTGACACAACTCTCAAGCCTGTTTCCATGGAGTTGGTACCCTGTTTCCATGGAGATGGTACCTAGGGAAGTTTTCCAAATGCTTGACCTACACTGTATGCCTTGGCTCTCTGCTTACCAACTCCTGGAAAGAATCCTACATTGCATCACTTCAATCTTGAACTACGGAGTCTGGAATGCTCCACGCCACCCCCATATGGTTTTGGCTCCAACAACAAAAGGCTGAGATTCCTCGCTGTAAAAAGCCAACTGTCAGCAAGGCTGTGAAACCTTGTGCCCGACCTCCATAGAATAATTTGATCTGTGATACATTTGATGGTGGATCCAGAGGGACAAGAGACGTTCTGGTGCCCTACTGTCCCCTTGTAAATACTGACCACGCTGGAGAAGCACAGAAACTGCACCATGCATAATGGGAAGCCACGCCTTCCAGTTCCTGCCAAGAAATTCCATTGCGGCATCAACAGAGGATGTGGCTTGCTGAATCTCTCCACTGTTCACATGGTGGAAAAATCGCTAGCATTATCTGACCTACACAGAACAAGATTCCACTCGCACCAGGAAGAATGGAGCCATCTGCAACTATTGCAGAGAATGAGACAGGTCCAGCAAGACTGGACAAACAGGTAAATCCTGAACCTCCCTTACAGCAAGGAAATGGCACAGCCACACATTCCACTAGAAGGCAGCAGTCAATACCATTCTGCAATTGAGGCTTAAGTTATTTAAATGTTATTTCAATTCTAAGCCCAAAAAAATCAAGAAATCCAATTCTCCAAACTAAAGGCATATCTGACTCTCCATAAAAGAAATCTGGTTAGCCAAATGGAGACCACTGTTTCCTTAAGATCACAGCCATAGAAACCCCCCTAGGACAGAATTCAGAGGCGGCATTATCAAGTGCAGAGTGCTGCGAGCCACATTTTGCACCTTGAACTTCCATTATCTTTTTCTTGTCACTTTTACAATAACTGTGTTGATGTTATCTTGATAGCAATAAACTAATGTATTACTTGACTCTGAAATGTTCCCCGATAGGCTCATGTTTTGAAGCCTCAGTACCCAGCTTGTGCCACTAAGTTCAACGCTATGGAACCTTTGGAAGATGAGATCTGAGCTGGGATGTAGCTCAGTCAGTGGAGTGTTCGCCTAGCTTGCAAGAAGTCCTGGGTTTGATTCCCCATCCCTGCATGAAAATAGGCATGGTTTCACACGCATGTAATCCTAGTACTTGGGAGGTCAAGAACGGAAGATCAGAAGTTCAGGGTCACCTTTGTCTACGTAGCAAGTTGTAAGCCAACCTAGGGTATGTGATTCTGTTTTTAAAGAGAGGGCCTGGCTGGCAGAGGTAAGCCAGTAGAGGCAGTCCTTTTGAAACACTTCCACCCATCTCTGGTTCTCACCCTTGCCTTGTTCTCTGGTCTGCACCGCCTCATGCTTCTGCTGCCATGTCCTCCCCGACAGGGTAGGCTGAAATTTCTCTGTCACTGTGGGCTAAAATAAAGCTTTTCTCTCTTGAATTGTGTCTGTCGAGTATTTTGTCACAGTTTCAAGAAAAGTAACTAACACAAGTTCAATCTCAGCTCTCTCCAAAAACCTGAAGTGGCAACGGCTAGACCAGGGCAGACCTGAAGAATCACACACTCTTTCTAAAGTCTCTGTCCAAGACCAAGGACTTCAGTTCAGAGGAGAAAACCAGGCATGGAATGCATGCCTGTAATCATGGAACTGAGGGGGCGAAGAGGAGGGATTGGAAGTTCAAAGTCATCCTTGGCCATGTTTCAAGTTTGAAGCCAGCCTGGGCTATATGAAACCTGTCTCAAAATAAATAAATACAAAAATGGAAAGAAGCTCAAGAGAACTTCATGAATCAAAGTTGGCCACCGTGCTACACAGATGCCACCACTCAAGTTCAGAATCCTCTCTGTAACTAAGGATTGACACACACATCCTCCATAGATAGCTAGAGGTTGTGTGAGCCGTCCTGCATTTATTATTGCATTAATAAACATGTTCATTGGAGAGTGGAGTTATCATAACACTGACAAAAGACACTGCCACCGTGTCTCTCGCTCCGTTTATAAGGCCCTGCTACCACCAGGCTGACATTGGGCATACATGAACAAGGCCTCAAGGAATTAACAGACCTAGCAGGAAAGGTTAGCAAGTCGCACAGTGATAAGACCTTCCAACAGGTGACTAAAAAGTTACATAATTGGCAGAATGGGGACAACGGACAGGCAGCGCCATCAGATAGTTTCAGATGAAATATTAAGTTTAGAGTAGGGCACTCAGGAGGCAGGGACAAGCAAGCAGGTATTTATGAACTCAAGGCCAGCCTGCTCTACACAGTGAGCTTAGGGCAGACAAAGCTACATAGTCAGACCATCTCATAAAGAAAAAGGAAGGGGGGTAGAAGAGGCTTGGGTTTATTGTCCCTTCCTTGTTCCTTTCCTATGGATCTTAAACTACTTCCATCTACTCAACTACACATCCACACTGGGAAGCTGAAAGCGAGGGCACAAATGGTGTACCGTTGGACACCCATTTCATGCCACATCATTTACAATAGTCAAAAGGGGGTACACGCAGGTAATGCCAGCGCTCGGGATGACAGAGGCAAGAGGACCCAGGCCAATCTGATTGGCACACTTGAGTTCCAGGTCAGCCAGGACTACACAGTGAGACCTTGTCACAAACAGGAAGTGAAAGGTAGAACCAACTCAATGTCTCCTGAGGAGTGAGCAGGCAAAGCAGGACACGCACAGTGGAGAGCGTTCAGCAGCAAACAGAAAAGGAACTGTAGCCAAACACTCTGAGGAGGATGACCCCAAGGGTATTAGACTCGGTTAAGTAGCCAGATCCAGAAG